CTTCCTGCTGAGGCCGACCAGCCCCAGAGGCCCCAGCACTCGGCACCAGGGGTGGAGCCCGCACAGACACTGGGGCTGATGGGCCCGCGGGGTGTCTAGAGCCACATGGGAGGTGGCCGTCGCTCCTCTCAGGGCAGCCAGATACAGGGGGGCTCCTGTGCCGAGTGTGTGGCCTCGCAGGCATTCGGCTCACACACCTGGTTTCCAAATAAGCAGGCGCTGTGGCCTGTCCACAGGCCCTCCAGAAGAGGCCGGAGAAAGCAGGACCCTGAGGCCTTAAGCAAGCTGTTCGCCCCCCACCCCACCCCCGGACTTCCTGCCTCCACCCCCCACCCGCTCTCGGGAATGTGTGACTTGTAGGGTAGGGGAAGCTACTTCTCTCCCATCCAGTTCGTTTTTAAATAAAAGTAGTAAAGTTTTAAAGCTGTATGAGAAAGAGAGAGGCAGGGCAGGGCCAGGTAGCCGCACTGCAAGTCCGAAATCCGTAGAAACCAAGCGCGGCCCCTCTTCCCTCATGGACACCGGGCTCCCGTCTCCGGCCGAATTCAACTCTTCTGATGCTGAGGGACACGACGGCAGGCAGGCGGCGGCACCTCGCCCTAAAGGGTACTCAGGTGTGTGTCAGTAGTAAGCTGGACTGTGCATCCAAGTTCTGGTACAAAGGTCTCTGGAATGTGTCTCAGACAAGTCTTCAGAGCCTCAGAATCAGGAAAATTAGTAATAGGACCTGGTTCTCCCTGGGGTAATCCTGATTTCAAAAACCATCAGCCCACGCCTCAGATTTTAGCTTTGGAAAATATGGTGACCAGAATTGTATATGGAAACAGTCAGCAAAAGATGTGGATAACCTACAAAGCGTTTCTTACTGGTTGTGATGTGACCAACACATCACACCCTTTAAACCTTCTAGCACTGTGTCTTTGACTAAATGACCTTTTTTAAATGGGGGAAAGAAAATCAGTGACACCTGTCAGAGGTCAAAATAGTCAGGTAGCCCTGTAAACACAGCCACGACCAGAAGTGGAGAAACAAGGCCACACTATTGCTCAGATCACATCTTCCTGTTGGGTGGCACCCCTGCCCAGCTGAGATCCTGAATGGGTCCCTAGGGAGTACCAGGGCCCTGTGCAGTCCATCTTAGCATTTGCTTCTGGCAAGAAAGAGGATGGTCTTCTGGACACACCAGGTCAGGAGACAGAAGACTTGAGGTCAAGTCTTGAGGCAGAGTGGCCAGCCCTCTCTGCCCATCCCCACCTCTGAATCACCCCTCACTGGTCTGAGCTGTGTTCAGGGTGCAGCAAGGCCTGGGATCGCCATTGCCTCAGATCTTTGTACCTGGAGGCTGCACCATGGCGAATCCTGCACCTGCCTTGGTGTGGGGCCTGGGAATAAAGTCAGGATTAGGAGTGAGGCAATCTTGCACTCGAGTGTCGTGGGTGGCGGCGCAGCAGGATGCAGGTAGGGCACCTCCAGGACCATGTTCCCATCCAGGACATCTCTGCTCGTTCCTACGCAGCACCCTGCAGGACAGGATCCCAGGGCTCTTTGAGGAAAGGGCTGTGTCCATCTGTTTTCCTGTATGGCTGTAGGATCCAGTAGGCATTTGGGGAGCTGACAACCATTCCCCTAATATGGCTGATGTAAAGAGGGGCTTCCTTGTCTGGGACATGAGCAACACCAGCCCCTTGATGGCTGAGCCCCAAATCAATTTTAGGCCTTTTATAGGGGAACTCTCCCTTCACTCAGGCAAACTTCATTCTGAGATCTCTGCCCCTATGGACCACTAGAACTGAAGTCCCAGAATAAGGGTTTGAGTTTTCACTATTATTTATATGAGTCCTATGGGTTCCTCAACCCCACCAAAACTGGCAAGCATGGCCATAAACCACAAAAATGGAAGACCCTGAAATAGATGCAGTCTGGGAAAACATTCTGCATGTTTGAAGAAAATGAAGGCTGTTTCAGGAGGGTCCGCCTTGTGTGCCCACTTCAGTGGAGGCAGCGTTCCAAGGCCCACCACCCTCTTCCACAGGAATCCCTCACTTCATGATGAGATGGACATCTGCCCTTGAGGACCCCTGTGAACTGTGCCTGAGATTCATGGGTTTCTCCCCGCCCTTCAAGTGAGATGAGTTTAAAACCCCAGATGATTCAGGAGGGTCTGGCCAGGAGTACCCAGCAGGATTTCTCTCCTGGTGCCCTACCCGCCCCCATTTCCCAGTCCAGGCCGGGGCCTAAGGACCACACCCTGCCATTAAACGAGAACCACTTTGGGAAAGAAGACACACTCTTAAGCCAAAAATAGCCAATGCCTGCATATTTCTGTTTTAAGGCAATGTTACCCTTCCATCTATCAGACGGAACAGCCCTGGGTCATTTAAAGGAAAAATTAAATTAAGTGCTCTCTTTGGAAACAGCCAACACCCGCTTCCCTCCCCCACCCCCCGCCCTGCTCTAAAACAAACCAGCTCTTCTTTTTATTCCAAGATGACTAGGTTTAGAGTCCTATCTTTTCCTTCCTATGTGCAGACAGATGTGGAGCTAGAAAATCTCCTTCCATGACACCCTGGGCAGATCACAAGGACGCCTGACCGCTCCCCGGAGAGCGCTTTGCCAGCCTCCCAGGGATGGGCCGTTCCCTCTCCCTGCCTTGGGGAACGGTGGACAGTGAGTGCACCAAAGGACTTTGGAATAAAATTCCTGAACCTGGAATGTGAATTCCTGAGACATAAAATGTAGTCAGAGTGTGGCTTTCTCTGCCTCACACGAAAACAACTTTGGGAGGGACCTCACTTTGGAACTGGGCATGAAGATCTTTGCACCACAAGCACCCAGGGCTCTCTTCTGTCAAGGTCCCTACCGAATATTCCACTCTCTCTCCCAGACCCGACGCAAGCAGGGCTGTCAGGGAGCCTAACACAGCATGGCAGCCAGAGTGGCCAGTTCCGCATCCAACCAGTGTGGGGGTGGCCCTCTCCCTGCCAGTTCTCACCGCAGCAGAAACAATGCTACTGCCCAATTTAGGGCCCATCGTTCTACCTAGAAAACACTACCACGCTGTCGGCCATTCCCCGCTGGCACACAGTGGTGAGAAGCGGGCACCCGGCGGCATCCTGTGCCTGAGCAGCTGCTGTGGACAGAGGGTACCTGTCCACTCTGGAGCCAGCCACAACAGTGGCCAGCAGCGGTGGGCAGTGGCTAGGCCTGGGTCCCGGGTTTGTGCTGCACCCCATACCATGGTAGGACTGAGTAGAAGCAGGATGGCCACGACCAAGGCACGCTGGGCCCAGGAAGCCCATCTGCGGCCCTCTGAGGTCCCAGAGCCGCTCCTTTGCATCAAAATAGGTACTCATCAAAACAGGTATCTCTGGCAAGACACCCTGAGTCCACCCCAATCCCCCCACCCCCCAACACACACGCGTGTGTGCTCACACGCGCACACACACACGCACGCACGCACACACTCTGTCCTGGGCCCTTGTATTTACAGGCCCCAACTCTCAGGAGGAAGGGAAGGTGGTACCTGGGCCACAAGCCTGGGGTCGACACTCCAGCCATCTGCAGAGGAGTTTGCTGGACCACAGCTTGACTGACCCGGCCCAGGGCTCCAATCCCAACCCAGGACCCAGCTCTCTGCTCCTCCTCTCCTGCCAGGAGAAGGCTGGTGATGGGGCACTGGAGCAGCCCCACCAGCTGGGTATGGCCTGGAGCCTCCAGGCAGGACAAGGAGAAGCAGGAGGAAAAGGGAGGAGGAGTCCAGGGACACGGAGAGGCTGGAGGTTTGCTAAGTCTGAGTTGGGGACATGGTGGGTCTGAGAAAAGTGTGGCCCACAGCTTTCCATCTGGCATTCCCTGGGGAGGAAACAGAATGCGCGCTCTCCGACAGCATTTCCTGTAACATCCGCGCCACTCCTGAAAAGGTCCAAGTCACAATGTTCCGGTCTCTTGCTACAGAAGTCTCTGTGAAGCACGATGCGCCGCCACAGGCACAGCCGCTCACACAGGCCATCTGACGAGGAGGCCCCATGACCTGCCCATTGTTTCCAACACACGTGCCCATGCGGGAGGACTCCGGAACTGGATGTGCCACCAGGAATTTCTAACATCTTTTTACAAGACCAGAATTCCCCATCAGAGGCCCAGGTATAATAGTGACAGGGTCCTGCGTGCCTTCTGCAGGGACACGGAGAAGCGGAGTCCTGGCAGGTGTGACCCCGGCCCCTGACTCGGAGGTCAGACGGTGCAGTGCTACGCTCAGCCAGGGCTGGCACCTCTGCTTCCAGTGCTCCCTAGCGCCGAAGGAGAGGGTTCCCGGAGGCGGGGTGTGAGGCAGGCAGGGTGCAGAGGGCTGAAGGCCCCCTCCACTGTCCCCAAGGTGGAGTGCTCCTCCAGCCGGGGACAGCTTTAAGGCATCCCTCTGCAGGGGCCTGTCTCAGAATCAGCTGCGTTGCAAGCCCGGCCAGGCTTGTTGGGCAGACGCCAGAGGCTGGGTGGGGGGCCGGGCAGGAAAAGGTCAGGCCCGCTGCTTAGGAATCTGCCATGGAGGCACAAACGTCAGTGACCACATCTGCTCCCAACAGACCCACAGGCTGGCCAGCCAGCCAGACGCTGAGCTCCACCAGACTGGCTGGCCTGCTCTGTCCCCAGCGTGTTCCCGAACCTAACAGAAAACTCCAGAGTGCAAATCTATGTACAGAGTAAGGCGGCAGGAAGGGGTGTCCTCACTGACCTCGTGGAACGTGTCCATCCCTGAGAAAGGGGGTTCAACACCGCTGAATCTCAACTTTGTGGGTATATCTGTTGTGCAATTGGTGGGTGGTGTTTTTTGAAATTTTTGTGTTTTTTTTTTTTTTTTTAACAAATTTACTTTGACACCTGAGGTGAAAAAAATTGTTTTTTCGTGGACTTCACATCAAGTTCTCTCTCTTCTCTCTTATTACAAAAGGAAAGGCCAGGGACTCACGAGGGGGTGGGAGCGGCTGCTCATGGCTGTGGCGGGCTCAGGGCGAGCTGGCCGGGCTGATGGTGGGGCTGCTGGCGTCGGAGCGGCTGTAGTCGCTGAGGGAGCCGGTCCGCGAGCCCCCGCCGCGCCGCTGCAGCATTCCCGGGTGGAAGTTGGCGTGGCGGCGCGCGTGCTTGGTCAGGTGGTCGCTGCGCATGAAGCGCTTCTCGCAGATGGGGCAGCTGAACTTCTTCTCGCCCGTGTGCGTGCGGTAGTGCCGCGCCAGCTCGTCGGAGCGCGCGAACTTCTTGTTGCAGTCCTGCCAGCTGCAGGCGAAGGGCCTCTCACCTGTGGACACAGGGGCAGAGCGTCAGTATCCGCACCTGGCCCCGCTTTCACACCCTCTCTGGGAAAGGACCCGCAACACCCAACACCCCGATCTCTCATCACCCCTCCCATGTGCCCTACCTCCAAGGGCTCCTGTGACAAATCCATCAGCGCAGAGATGAAGGTGGCCCCTGCCCTCCCACCCACGCCTGGGATGGAGGCAGAGGACACGGCCTAGGATAAAACAGCATTTCAGGTGCTGAAGCTGCAGGGCCCATGGGTAGGAACGGGTCAGGGCCCCAGGCTCCTGGCAGTGGACCCCCTAAGTACACCACAAAGCAGGCTGCACTACACACCCATGCAGGGCCAGCGGTCTCCAATGCATGGGGGTTGCAGGCCCACGTCCTGGCTTCACAGGCCTCCGGGAGCCCAGCCGCCCATGTTGCTCCATGGGAGCCACACTCTGGACCCCTGCAGGGCAGGAAGGCAATTCCCATTCTGACCCTCCTCAGTCTAGTCTGTCACATGAGAGGGTCAGCCTAGGTGAGTTCCTGGGCCTGGAATTCTACGAACAGTCTGCTGCTCCTTCTCTCACAGAAGTCCCAAAGTGGCCAACCAGGGATGGCTGGCAGAGCAGGAGAATGAGACAGGCTCTTGCATCCCAAGCGTGGTGACATACAAGGGCAGCAGCCCAGAGCACCCCATTAGGGGCCTGTGCAGGTGGGGAGGAGGCAGAACACAGTGGGGTGCGAGGCAATCAAGGTAGGTCTAGATGCTGCTCCCTCCTTCCCATCCCTCACTCAGCGGGAGACAGGCCAGCGCTTACCCAGGCAAACTCTTAACACACAAAACTCTCAATCACAAAAATGTCATCAACGGCTCAGGAAGAACCAGGCTTGGGGCGGGGGGGGGCTCTGGCACCCCAGAAAGGAGCCCTTCTGGTATTAGGGGTGGCCGCAGGGCTGCCGTTCCTACCTGGTCACTTCCCCTCTCACCCCCACACAGATCCTAAAGTGACTGCCAGTCATTGAAGCTGGTCTACCCATGTTCAAGAGAGGAAACCCACTCACCCACCCACCTTAAACACAAGCAGACACCCAGGGATGGCCAGACAGCCAAGGAGAACCAGCAGCATGGAAGAGAAAGGCCAAGCGCAATTCAACCACCAACTCTAGAGCAAAAGAGTGAAGCCAGGAAACAGAAGACAATTTTAACTTGAAACTTCTGGATTCTCTGAGGAATCTGAGACAAAATTTGATGCAAAAGCAAAGAGGATACAATACAAAGGAAGTTCAGAGGACAAAAACGGCCGGGCACGGTGGCTCATGCCTATCATCTCAGCACTTTGGGAGGCTGAGGCGGGTGGATCACTTGAGATCAGGGGTTTGAGACCAGCCTGGCCAACATGGTGAAACCCCGTCTCTACTAAAAATACAAAAATTAGCCAGGTGTGGTGGTGTGTGCCTGCAATTCCAGCTACTTGGGAGGCTGAAGCAGGAGAATTACTTGAACCTGGGAGGTGGAAGCTGCAGAGAGTCCAGACTGCATCACTGCACTCTAGCCTGGGCAAGAGAGTGAGGGTCCATCTCCAAAAAAACACACACAAAAAAAAACCCAGCAAAACAACAGCATTTAGAAACTGAAAACAGCATTATGTCCATATAAAACCTTCATATAAAAGCTAGAAATACACTCAAAGCAAATATATGAGAAAAAAACAACAAAAAACAGTTCTGGAAAAGATGTGTTCCGTCTCCTGGCACTGCTGAAGCAGGGGCCACGTGTGGGTGCCTTTGTTCTCTTTACTGATTTTACATTTTGGGGGAAAAGGTGTTGGGGGGATTCAAAATCAAGTAGCACCACGATTTCCCAAATACATGACAATTACAATCAAGTGAGAAAACAGAAAATACGGAGAAGAAATTACAAAAGAAATAACAACAGTCTCTGTCAAAGAGTACAAAAAAAAAAAAAAGAAGAAAAAGAAAAAGGAGACAGGAGACTAACATGAGACAGGCTGCACTGAGGTGGACCAGGTAAGTGAGTTAAGATCTCTGCTGTGAGAAGCTCTGCAATGTCAGAACACTGAGTAAAAACAGGAGCTCTCACAGCTTAATAGAGAGAGGAGGAAGAAACAAACACCAGGTCATCCACAAAGGAACAAGGCTGGGACAGACACCAGACTTTTCCTAAGTCACAGTGGATCCTGAAGACAAAGGAACAGGGTCTTCCAAGTTAATGTCTCACACACTCCAGCTAAAATGAGATAAGACCAAGGAGCTAGGGACATGACTGTATAGTAAAGGGCCACCTCATGACAAGAGCAAGGCAGAGACCTGGGAGGTCACTGGAGCACAGGACCGGGGCTCACGGGGGAAAATTCCAGGAGGAAAGTGAGTTTTGTGCACCACAGAGTACCATCAAAAGGCTGGATACACTTCAGGATACAGTAAAGACACATTACTCTTCTTTGTTTAAAAGAAAAAAGAGGCAATTAGAAACTCCAGGAAAAATAAAAGACATATAAAAAAACTGTGGTTCAAATTAGATGTAAACGAAAATGCCTCATGATTATGGGTCAAGAGCTCCGAGCCAAGCTCGGTTCTAGGGATTTTTCCTATGCTCTATTATTTATTCTTCACAACTCCATGAGGTGGTGGCAAGAAACGTAATCCCAGCACAGGCCCTGCTGATGGAAGCAAACTTTACACAGCTGTGGTCATGCTAACCTTAGCACTAGTTGTCAGTGTTTAGAACCAATCCTATAAACAAAGGCCATACAACTGACCTGTGGGCCCAGCAGAGAACATGGATTTAAGGGAAAAGTCGGAATGCACACAGTGTGCAAAGAACATACCTAAATCAAACACAGAGATTTAAAATTACAAAGATAGTCAAAATAAGTAAAATAATACATCCATCAATTTAGGAAGAGTTGGAGGGGAGGGACAGGAGTGAGGTAAATCCTTAAATTTCATGGCAGGGGGGATAACAGAGAATATCTAAATTTGATAAATCAAGAAACAGCAATAAGATACAGTTCATTTATAGCAGTAACCATCAAGACAACTAAAATCAGAAAAGAAATGCTCTCCAGGGAGTGGGGCTGGACTGGTGAGAGGATTTTTTTTTGTTGCAAGCTCCTCTGTGTTATGGGTATCTCTACCTATTTACCTATCTATCTAACCTGAGCCAGTCTTGCTCTGCCACTGCAACCTCCACCTCCCGGGTTTAAGTGATTCTTCTGCCTCAGCCTCCCAACTGGCTGGGATTACAGGCGCCCACCCACGCCTGGCTAGTTTTTATATTTTTAGTAGAGACAGGGTTTCACCATGTTGGCTAGGCTGGTCGTGAACTCCTGACCTCAAGTGATCCGTCTTCCTCAGCCTCCCAACGTGCTGGGATTATAGGTATGAGCCACACGCCCACCTTGGGTCTTAAAAAAAAAATCCTATGTATTTGTTTCTTCCATAACAATAAGAAGAAATGTTTAAATATAGTTCCTTAAATATCTAGTCCAACATTTCCCAAAACATGTTCAAAGAAATGTTATCATTGTATAAAACTATTCATTGCTTCCAGAATAAAAAATTTTGTCAACCAAAGAGTGAAAATGTTGCACAGTAATTCCACTCTTGGAGATTCACGTCGCACACTAGTCATCAAAAGCTTGGGAAAGTCCAGCATTAAATGGTTTAGCATTAACCATGTCAGGTCTGACAGATGAGGTTCAGACCCTGTTCCCTAGCTGTGACACTATGGCCTCGAACAAGCTCCTTGCTGGCTGTAGTAGAGTGGATAATGGTCCCCAAAAAGATATAGCCAAGCCATAACCCCCAGAACCTGTGCATGTGATCTTATCGGGAAAAAGGGTCTTTGCAGATGTAATCAGGTAAGGATCTGGAGATGCGTTCCCAAGTGTGGAGGGTGGGGAAGAGGGGGAAGGGAGCAAGTGAGAAAGGGGAGAAAGGGGGCAGGGGAAGGAAGGGGAGGCATGGAGCAGATTCTCCCTCAGAGCCTCCGGAAGGAATTAACCCTGCCAACACCTTGGTTTCTGGAACTGTGAGACAGTGAGTTTCAGGTGCTTTTCAGCCACCCAGTTTGTGGTAATGTGTAACAGCAGCCACAGGAAGTGAGCACACTGCCCCATCCTCACAGGGTGGTCCATACAGTGATCCCGAGGGGCGGTGCATGACTGGCCTCAGCACAGTGCCTGGCACGTTCCAAAGGTCCACTCCTGAAAGCTCAGCTGTTACTGTTGCTCTTAGTCATTAGCCCTGTCAAGTGAGTCTCCCCAGATTTGCGCCTGTTGGTGTGGGGGGAAGCCACACTCAGCCTTGCTTCCTAATAGCTCTTGTGAGGAGCCTTGTCCTTTAGCTCCTTCTGCCTGCAGGCCGGGGAAGCATGTGAGGTACACAGAGCTACAGATGGGCCACACGATGTTGGGGCCGCAGAGAAATGCAGCATCCAATGGATGGGGCGCTGGTGCCAGGCAGCCTGGAGTGGAGGAAGGCGGGTGTCCGGTGCAGCCACTCCACCAGCACAGCTCTTGGCCTCCCTGTACGTCAGGAGCTTTATGCTTTGACAGGGGACATACTGGGTGCCTGGCCCAGAGACACGGTCCTGACCCAGGCAGATGCAGGCCCCACGGCTCCATTCTCTGCTCCTCCCTCAGCCCGCTGCAGAGAGGTGACAGTTGTGAACTGGCCCACAACAGGAGTTATGGCTCAGGCCAGCAAGAAGCAGCAGCACCAGGTCTGGCTGGGTCCCCTGGTAGTGACACTCAGGCAGCACCCAGGAGGCTGACAAGGAACAGCTCAGAGAAGGGAGAACAGGCTGGGGCGGGAACAGGGAGCAACATGCCCCAGGCCACTTTCACCCACACGGTCGCAAGGAGCCCCAGGAGCTTTCGTGTATGTGGGTGAGAGCCCCTGCTATTCATCATATTAGAAATTAGAAATTAAAATGGAAACAAAGTCTTCAATCCAAGCATGCATTCCAGTCACTGAAGAGGGACAGTGCTGTCACACATCTTGTAGCATCTGCAATAGCCTACTGTACTCTTTTGGGAGAATGAGGCAAACAGTGCTATTGTTATGAAAACAGTTTTGATCTCATGGCCCCGGTGAAGGGAAGACACCTGCGGGTGTCTTCCAGCTTCACTCTAAAAACTGCTGTTCTGGGGACAGACTCCAGGGGGGCTGTGTGCAGCCAAGTGAAGTGAGCAGAGGGGGGCACCCAGTGAGGTGAGGGGCCAGCCAGGCCTGGCCCTTCAGGGAGTGCGCCCACCTCTCATTCTACGGCAAAGGGGGCCCATCGGACTAAACAAACCCAAGCACCCTCCTTGCTGGGCTCAAACCCTTCATCTGCCTCCAGCCGGGCATGTCATATGGAGACAGCAACAGCAGGGCAGGGACTCAACAGGACAGGGCTCCCTCTAGCTCCAAAATGACAAGAGAATCGGTAGGAGATTCTAGACTCTTGCGGAGGAGCTCCTAGCCTTCCTGCCGGATCCCAGAGCCACTCCAGCTCCCCAGGTGGGAGGGCCCCAGGGGTTCTGGCTGTGTGTGCCTGCGCCTGTGCATGGGATGGGGGTCCTGAGACAAGGTGGGATTAGGCCTTGTGAGGAGACTGGGTGAGAGGAAGGGGGCTGGGGTGGAGCCTGGAGGGGCGCTAGGTGCCCTGGAGCCTGGAAGGGAGGCTGTAAGAGGGCTGGGGGAACTGTGGGGAGCTGGGGGAGGGGCTACGCCATGCTGGGGTTTGGGGGTCCTACGGGTGCCAGGTCGTGGGGGACTCTTCGGGTACCAGGCTGCATGGCCGGGGGGTGCAGGGTAGGGGACCGCATGGAGTTGCGGGAGAGTAGGGGGTGGGGATTGGAGTAAGGTTGGGCGGGGCAGCTGCTCGGGGCTGCGCGTTACATAAATGTTCCCTGGCGCCACAGCGAGGCCGCGAGCGGAGCAGCGCCGACTGAGAGCAATTGCCTCATCTTATCAGGGAACACAGCGTCCCACATGCTGCTCTTGCCCAAGCCGCAGGCCAGGCGGGGACAGCGTGTTCCCTCAGAGAGCCAGCCGGGAGGGGAGCGCAGGGGCTTTCTCTCCTTCAGCTGAGCCCCCCATCCACCTCAGCAGCCACCTCCCCCCTCCCCCACAGCAGCCACGTGCAAATGCAGCCAGCTCAGGAGTGTGCATGCTCCAGCTCAAAGCCTGAGCTCAGACTCGGGCCGTGGCGCGGACTCCACTCTGCTCACCTACGCAAAGGGCACGCTCCAAGTTATCTCCTGCGATCCAGCCTTAGCCAAACGCCTACCCACCACCCCACAGGTGAGTGGGCCCCCCCGCCCTCCACCCGGCTCCAGCTACCCCTGTATGAACCACACTGCAGATCTTTCTGTCTGTGAACCTCCTGTGGGAAGCCTGCTGAGGGGTCATTTTTCCAATGTTCCCAACGCCCAGCACCAAGCTAGGGCCAGAGCAGCATCTGCCGCAAGGGCCTCTTCTTCTGGCCTCCTGCTGGGTCTTCTCTCGGAAGCCTGGCTGAGCTCCCCTTCATGGAAGGGAGAAGGGAAGAAATGCAACTCCTACCGGGAGGTCCTGGAAAGGCAGATGAGCTGGCACCCTCACAGGGATGTCCTGGATGCAAGAGCAGACCTCTGCAGCGCAAAGGTCCACGTGGGTGTGTATCTGGCGGCAATGGCAGGGGCAGGGCTGGTCAGACTCAAAGGGAGGCATGGGGAGAGCCTTCCAAAGAGAAACTGCTTCCCCTCGGGCTCCCAGGCCACTGCCCCCAGTCTCCAGCTATTCCCCACCAGTGAGTGGGCTGTCATTCACCGATGGACAGCTTTGCCCTGTGGGCACTGGTTTGGGGCCACTTCTAGCTCCCAACCTCAAGACTGCCATGTTTTTCACTCCAGGGAAGCCTGTTCCCCTCCTGCTGGAGCAGCTCGGCACACAGCCAAACACAGGGGCTGATCAACTGCTGGCCTCCAATGAAACTCAGGCATACGGCCTCAGGGGTGGCAGAAAGAAAGGTCTGGCGTCTGTGGTGGGAGGTGGACTTCCTAACTCCTTTGGAGGCCATTTGGCTGCCCTGCTGGTCTCTAGAAATGTTAGTAGTGGTTTATTAAGCCACATGGAGCGGACATGCACATGGCCGCCCAGGAAGTCCAGGCTGGAAGCTCTTACCCACCCACTGAGCAGGTAAGGGAAGTGAGGCCCGAGAGGAGACAGTGAGCTGTCATTCAGCTGGCTGGCGCCAGAGCGAGAGCCACAGCTGGGATCTGCCTGTGGCAAGGAAGCAGCCTGCCCCACCCCCACTCCTTTGTTGATGCCTCAGGGATTGTCATCCAGCCTGTTTCTGTCACTGTGAGGGTTAAGTGGGAGAATACACGGGACACATGCCTGCTGCACAGTGGTGCCTGGAGGAGATAACAATGTTATCACCTATGGGCCAAGGGGCCCCGGGAAGCATGTCTGTGAGCCGCGCAGTAAAAAGGACATGGGGGGGCACGTGTGCCCCGTCCCAGGACGCTCTGGTCTAGTGCCGCTGATCACACACTACTATCCACTCTTCACATGCAAGAGCTGGCAGGGTGCTGAAGCCTGGCTGGAGACTGCCACAGTGTCGGAGGGAACGCTGCTTCAACGAGAGAATCCTCCTTGGGCAAATGTGTGTCTCTACATTTCTACAATGCATGTGAAGATATTTTTTAAAGTAGGCATTTTTCTTGTCGCTTTGCTTTGTTTTCGAATAGGATAACTTGATCCTAAAAATTCATACAGAAAAACACACGGGAATAGCCAGAAAAAATCCTGCAAAACCATGACGTGGGGAAACGAGACCACCAGGATTCAACACAGTTTCGTAAGATGATCACTGGCCAGTGAAGCCCAGAGGAAATGGCAGAATTAGAACGAAAGGCAGTGATAACTGCATAGGATGGAGAGACATTTCCAACCCCTAGGGCAGGGAGCAGTCAATATAAGGGAGGAGACCACCCCTCATATTATCTTATGCCCAATTTCTGCCTCCAAAGAAAGAAGAAGTAAAAACTAAAAGGCAGAAATGAAATCCACAAGCAGACAGCCCGGCGCCACACCCTGGGCCTGGTAGTTAAAGTTCGGACCCTGACCTAATCAGTTATGTTATCTATAGATTACAGACATTGTATAGAAAAGCACTGTGAAAATCCCTGTCCTATTCTGTTCCATTCTAATTACCGGTGCATGCAGTCCCCAGTCACACACCCCCTGCTTGCTCAACTGATCACGACTCTCTCACATGCACCCCCTTAGAGTTGTGAGCCCTTGAAAGGGACAGGAATTACTCGGGGAGCTCGGCTGTTGGAGACCTGAGTCTTGCCAAAGCTCCCGGCCGAATAAAGCCCTTCCTTCTTTAACTCGGTGTCTGAGGAGTTTTGTCTGTGGCTTCTCCTGCTACAAATACACATATCAGGACGCTTCGGTAGCATCTGGAAAGGTTGGGTTCATTCTTCCCACCCTATACCAGCATAAGTTCTAAATGGGTCAAAGATTCAAATGTGAAAAATAAAACCACAAACATTCTAGGAAAAAACTGTAAGACAAAAGTTCCTTCTATGAATCAAAGTCCACAAACCATAAAAGAAAAGACTAAAGGCTGGGCGTGGTGGCTCATGCCTGTAATCCCGGCACTTTGGGAGGCTGAGGCAGGAGGATCACCTGAGGTCAGGAGTTCAAGACCAACCTGGCCACCATGGTGAAACCCTGTCTCTACTAAAAATACAAAATCAGCTAGGTGTGGTGGCGGGTGCCTGTAATCGCAGCTACTCAGGAGGCTGAGACAGGAGAATCACTTGAGCGTGGGAGGCAGAGGTTGCAGTGAGCCGAGATCACACCACTGAATTCCAGCCTAGGTGACAGAGTGAGACTCAGTCTCAATCAATCAATCAATCAATCAACTGCACAAAAAAGTATACTATACTTCTCCATGAACAAAGTCATCATAAACAAAGGCAAGAGATAACTGACAAAACTGAGAGAAAAAATATTTGCAGCTCATATCACAAATGGCTGATCTCCAAACCAGAAAGAGCTCACAGGAATTTTAAAAAGAAAAATATCCAGCAGAAAAATGGGCAAAACCGATTCATAAAAAAGGAACTACAAATGGCTCTCAAGTGCCTGAAAAGATGCTCCACCTCATCCATTACACACGTTTGCAGTATGTAATGGCAAACGAAACACACTGAAATGCAGCTTGGTAGCCATCACCTCGGTAAGGCTGCAAGTAAGCAGGCATTCTTTGCTGATGGAAGTACAAACTGCTACAACCTCCATGGAGGGCGATTTGGCAATACCTATTAAAATGAGAAATGGGCACACCCTTTTATCCCACATCTGAACTTTTGACATCCTAGCCTATAAACCCATCTGCACATCTCCAAAATGGGATATGGTCCTGATTAGTCAATGCAGCAGGAGCCTGAAAACAACTCATGTCCTTCCACTGGGGCCTGTCAAATAAATTATGGAACGCCCATATAACAGAATACTATCGCAAAGAAGTAGAACGAGTTCTTTGCAAACTGATATGGAAAGATTTCCAAGCTGAGTGAAGAAAACAAGGTTGAGGAGAGATGACCAGCGAGGATCTACGTGTGCCTTGGCCTGTATGTGCAGAGAGAGGGTCCCTAGGAAAGTAAGAACAGAGATCACCCAAGGGAACACTGAGCAGATGGAGGACAAGGAAGGTTGACAGAATTTTCCCTGGGGAAACTACTTAAATCTTTCAGATTCTGAAACACATACATGCATTTCCTACTCAAAAAGTTAAATTCAAAACAAAAAAAATCCATAGCAAACTAGAAAACGCAGCCATCAATAATGCCAATTTAAAAAGCAGATATTCAACACTCTGAGCACATTACCGGCCCCATTCTGTATTCCCTGTTTCAAAGCACATTTCCTCATATTACCCCAAGAGCTCTCTTAAAATAACAATGGTCGCCCAGACAGATTCTCCTCAGAATGTGCTGGGCAGTGGCTTCCAGGATGAGAAACTCAAAAATAGCAATCAAGTCCAGTCTAGCTTTGTAGGAGATGCTCCCAGGGCAGGGCTCTGGGGCTTGAGAGCCCCTGGGTCACACTGCAAACTGTCCTGTTGGAGGAGGGTGCTCCCTGATAAATTGTTTGACAGGCCCAGCAGTTTAGAACGGGTCAGACTTAAAAGGCTATGGGTGACAAATATTCAGCAAAGGATTTAAACAGAAGCAGTTCCAGGGTTGTAATTACACGTCAGAAGCTCCCTTCAGGCTTCTGAATATCACACTCCTGCCATAAGACCACTCTGTGACACCACTGTGGGCTGAAAATTAGCCCAGGTGGATGGGGCAGGTATTGGCAGCTAGGACAGCCATGTCCACCTGGCCACTAGGATGCAGACCCTAAGTGCTGCTGCAGGGGCTCGTGAGGAGTGGGAACCAGGGAATCTGTGGATTACTGGGAAAGGGGTTTCTCTTGCACCAAAACAGAAAAGGCAGGAGGGAGGGAGGGAGGGAAGAAAGAGGGCAGAGCACGTGGTGGGTAGGTAAAGGGACACAGTATGGAAAGGCCTCTTGGGCTTGCCTCTGGCTGTGACGTCTGGGCGGGGGTGGGGGGCACCAGCCTTGGCAGTCACAGAGGAGATCTGCAGAACCTCACAGAGAAGTCCAACTGCTCCTTGACATGAACAAGCACCTGCACAGCCAGCCCCAGCTCTGCACCCCAGGGCCCCGTGCTCCCGGCTGGCAATCTAGGCAACTGAGGGAGGGGCCCCTGTCTGCAGAGCCTTCGGCAACCATCGTGGCCCACTTCCTCTTCCTGTGTC